GTGGCTGAAAGTCACTGCAAGCCAGAGAAGGATTTGGGATCTTATCCTGAGGAAATGCAAAGCTGTTGAATTTTCTGCAGGGGAATTACATGATCACATTTGAAAATATCATTTCAGTTACACTGTATGGAAAATGGATGGCAGAGAAGCAATAGTGGACATAGAAAGGCTATTCAGGAGGATTTTGCACTGTTTCAGGTAAGAAGTGGTGATGTCTTGGACCACAACGATAGCATTGGGGCAGGAGAGGGAGGGAATTACAGATGTAATAACAGGATGTGGTGATTAAGCAGATTGGCTATACGAGTATAGGGTGGTGAAGAAGAGGTAAATGATGAGGCAGATTTACCCATTAAGGAACTGGGTTGTTTACTATCAAAGCGACTGTTATAGGAGGAATATATTTTGGGGGAAAGAATGTCTTTTGGAAATAATGAGTTTATGGGGCCTGTGAGACATTTAAGAGTGTATGCACTCATCCGCTGGATGCAGTTTTGAGGATCAAAGAGAGTCTAGGATAGCTCCCAAGCATTTTAATCTTCAAGTGTTGGGTAGAAGATTTTCCACTAGGAAGCTGAGCAGAAACAACCAGGGCAGTTGAAGAAAACAAAAACCAATGGGAAAAGAGCACTTTTAGTAGGAATGATTAGTCAGTCAACTGTGTGGAATACTTCTGAAAGGTCAAGTACTGCCAAATATCCAAAAGAAGTTAGTGACTCCATGTTATTCATGACTTTGGCCAACCCACTTTGATAGAGGATAACCAGAGATGCCTGCTTGGATTGAGTTGATGGGGGAAATGGGAAGCAACATGATAGGGGTAGCAGGTGTAGATACATATAACATAGTTGAGAATTTTTCTTATGAAAGAGTGGAGAGAAATATGGCATTACATGGAGGTGAAGAAATGAAGACTAAATTAAAAGTTGTGATTGTTGTATTTGTTTTAAATAGGTGAGTTTGTGTACCATTAGTGCTAGAAATTGCCTGGCAGATATAAAGAGTTGGGTACTGGTGAGGGGGGAGAATTGAATAGATTGTATCTGTAATCAAAAGCACTAGTAGAGGGGCTGGGTTTAGAAGGAGGGCTGTTCCATTTTAACAAATTAAAGAAGGAAAGACTGGGGACTTCTTCCAGGTAGAGTTGAAGATTTGGTGTTGAAATATTGAGTGCATTCTGACGGAATGGTTTCTATTGCCTTTTTGACAAACCCTTTCCCTTCAAATATTTAATAGCCAAGTACTCTAAATCCTTGCTGCTCTAAGTATGGTCTTTAGACCAGCAATATCAGCATTACCTGTGAGTTTAATAGAAAAGCAGATATTGGGCCCCCTCCAGATATACCTTATCAAAATTGATATTTAACAAGGTCCCCAAGTAATTCCTATGTACATTAAAGTTTGAGAAGCAGCATACAGATTGACTTCCCATTGGTGGTATGAGTTGAGAAATTGCTAAATTATCAGAGCTATAATCTACAGCAGAAAGGTTTATTTTGAGGACCATGGGTTATTGTCCCACTTTTCTTTCTTTTCTTTAAAAAAAAACATTTGTTTTGTTTTGTTTGCTAGAGAACCCTGTGAATTGCTATAAGAAGCAACTAGAATAAGTACAAGCAAAATATCATGATACTTTTCATCTTTGTATTTTATTCTGTTGTCAGTATTATTTTTTTTATTCAACAAATATTTATTGAGTACCTAGTATATGCTAGGCATTCTCTTGGTTCTGGGGTTATAGTCGTTAACAAGAAGTCCTTGCCTTTGGGACTTCATTTCTCTCATTTAGCTCACTTTTACACCTGCCATTGTAATAGTTCATTGTATACTTCAACTCTCTTGTCCTCTAACTTTATCTTATTCATCTTATTCAATATTCATTAATTCATTCATCCTTTTATCCACTTAATAAACAATTATTTATCATCTACTATGTGCCAGACACTGTTTTAGGCATTTGAGATTCATTAGTTTTATCAAAATAGATAAAGATCTCTGCCCTCATGGAGCTTATATTTAAGTTTATCTGTGGCAGAAGGTAGTAGGAAGTTGCTGAAGGAGAGATAGGCACTAACAATGAAAACAAATAAATTGCCCACCTTGAAAAATTCCTTATCCAGTTAAATTCAACTCTCTGGTTTGTCAGCAGCTGAATTTGGCTTTAAAAAAATACAGAGAAGCTGACGGGTCTCAGACCAACAGTATGGCTGCTATCCTCAAGTGGGTCTCCTAACCTGCCTAGTCATTCTGACCAACGTTCTCCCTCACTCTTCCAGACAATGTGATATCTTCTCCTCCTCAAACAACTGATACCACCTACTCTATCCCAGTAACTTACCTAATATTTTAATACTAGAGGCCCAGTGTGCAAAATTCCTCGAGACCCAGAGTCCTGCCACACCAGCAGTACCGAGTCCCACCACTCTGTGGGACCCAGAGACCTGCCATGCCACAATTTCATCAATGTACCTCCTAGTGACCAGACGTTTGGTTGTTTCAGAGTTATGGTCACTGGCCTTTTATAATATACTGTAGATTTTCATAAAACTAAATTCTGCTAAGATTATACTCCCCAAATGCCACAACATTCTTTCTAATGTTGTGGGGAGAAATATGGCATTATTGCACACTTTTTAAAAACATAAACATTAATAAGTAGGCCCCATTGCTTTAAGGATAAAATCAAATTTCTAATACATTGCAGTTATCCAGACTCTTTACCCATGTTTCATGTCTCCAATATTTCCAGCATATCAACCATAGCAGTAATTGAATGCTTGCATGTGGTAGCTACTCTTTAAATGTGTTTTTGATTGAAATTTTTTTTTAGATTTTCCATTTTGCTTCCAATTGCGTTCATAACACTACCTCAAATAATATTCTATTAAAAGGAGTGTTGTTCCAGTAAAACTGAAAGTAATCATCTTGAACCATTGAAGGCAATAGTGTTGGTTCCAACACCTATTTCTTTGAAGGCCATTTTCATCATCATTCAGCATTATCATAAATACTGATACAAGGCTGATTTTTATCATAGTCAGAGTAGAGTTTAATGCTGTGGGCCTTTGTTGGAGTTGAAGAGGTGGAAACAAGAAGGATCCTTGGGAATCATTCTTTATTAGCTTGATATAAACCATAGAATTAAGTACTCCTGATTTACTTCTGATTCATTCTGAGTCAGAGATCTATGGGTGGAAGCAAAGAATGAAAAACACAACAAAAATAATTATCCCTACTAAAGAGCTGGCTGTAATTCAAACAGAATGGGTAACTAAGATGCTATCCAATGAGTTGAGAGGTATCAGAAGAACTGAAACCGAACACTTAAGAGTCTTAAGAGTTTTGGAAAATACTAGCGATGATCCAGTGCAAGGTCCCAGCCAGAGTGAGAGTCCCCTCTATATCACCCCAGTCCCATAGCTTCTTTTACTTCCATCCTTTTAATCATTGGAAACTGGCTTCTTTTCTTCATTAGAACCCAGTTGTCATCAGAGTTTTCTTTCCTTGTTTTTAAATCAGTTCCCCGGAATGTCTACCCATTGGGCCTAATTTCTGACACATTAAGCTACAAAAATTGTAAATGAATGTCCTTGCTGCACAACACCCCCTAAAACACTAGCACTCAGAAGTCTCATGTGTCCCAAGTCCTCTCTTAGTCCTACCTTTTTGCAGATGGACCCAATATGCACAGCTCTGAAGTCCTCTTCATTCCAGCACCTTCAGGGTGCAGAATAATTTCTCAGTGTGCCAAGGCATCAAGGCAATACTTAACATGAAGAAAAATCAGAACATTTATTTTTTTATGACTTTTATTAATTTTTAAAGATTTAAAATTTTATCTTTTAAAGGGAGAGGAGGAGAGAGAGGAACAGCCATGTGAGAAGGAAACATTGTCGCTGCCTCCTACACACCCCCTACCAGGGATGGAGCCTGCAACACAGGCATGTGCTGGTTTGTCAGCAGCTGATGGCGAATCAAACCAGCAACCCTTTGGTGCACAAAATGACACTCAACCAACTGAGCCTGGGCCTGAACATTTATTTTCCATGATCTCTTTTTTCTATTATTGCAGCCTAATACCAAGCTAACTTTTTTAGCATCCATTTCACACTCTTGGTGCCTATTAAAAGCTTATGGTCAATTATAATTCTCTGAATTTTCTTTTTCACTTGCAGTGTTGCCAAAGTAGATATTGTTTCCATCCTGCATGGGTACCAGAGTATGTGTTAATCCTAGACCTCCCTATGAATCACTGGATAATCAAGGACTGGTCGTGAACTTCACTCTATGAACTAGACATTGACTCTAATGATGCAAGTGCCATATATTAGGTACCATAGACAGCACCTGGTCCTCCCTAAACATGTGCTCTTCTTTTAAAGAGCAGTCCATTTATAAACTCAGTCTTTTCCAGGACCTGAGGTCACCAAGTGACTTACCTTTCTAGAAGCTAATTTTTATCCACAACCTTCCTTTCCTCTTATGAAGTACATTCACTCTAATCCAGCTCCCATCAATTAAATACACACCTGATTAATTTTCTTTCCTCACACCAAGATTGATTGCACTCTTTATTTTTTTAAAAACACACAAACAAACAAAAACAATACACAAAATCGATTCCCCCTCCGGCTGGTGTGACTTAATGGTTGATCATCAACCTATGAACCAGGAGGTAACAGTTTGATTTTGGTCAGAGCACACGCCCAGGTTTCCGGCTCTATCCCCAGTTGGGGAGGTGTGCAGGAGTCAGCGAATCAATAATTCTCTCTCATCATTGAGGTTTCTATTTCTCTCTTTTCCTCTCTGAAATCAATTAAAAAAACACACACACACCAAGGAAACAAAAAACTACTGGGCAGGTCAAGAAACCCAACTCCCCTCCTCCAACCAGAGCTCCGCCCTCTGCTCGGGTAGCCTGAAGTTGAAGGCCAAAGAGGGAGAGGAGGACTCACACTGCTGCTGGGGCGACAGTGCAGGCTCAGCTGCTTCAGCCAGTGGGACTGCAAAGGGTCACTCTAAAAATTGCTGCTGGGGCTTGTCAGGTGGCTGCTGGTGGCTCCCCTTCTTCCTTCTCTCCCCACAGATTGCTTCCCAAGGGGAGTCTGCTGCTGACACTTCATCATCACAAGTCGGGGACACCACTCAACACAGGAGGGTAAGGAGCTGGGGCCACACTCTCCAACGCTTGTCTTCCAGATTCTGGGGGTGTGTGGCTCTGTGGGTGGGAGAGGGTGGCGTGTCTGAGTGTTTGCAGAGCGATTTCACTGAAGGAGTCTGCAGCTGGGTCAGATTGCCCAGGTCCCTGATTTGAATTTGGGAACCAAAAGCCATTTTCTTGAAATCGAAGGAATGTGATACATTAGGCAAAGGTCAGACAGAGTCATAGAAATTCATGAGAGGATGCTTTAGAAGAGTAGCATTACTTGTAATTTTTAACAATCATTTTAAGTCTCCAAAGTCCGATGTGTGTTTTTCTTCCTCTGTTTTATAGAGAAAAAAAAAGATGGGGAAATTAAAAATTTTAGTATTGTTCACAGAGCTTAACATTTCTTCTCCATTTTATCAGGAATCAGGTACACATTTGGTACCCAATAATTTTAGGTAAAATTAATTCAATGTAATGAGATTGGTAGAAAAAAAAATGGAAACTTTTCAAATTCCCAGAAATATAACCTACTGACAAAATACAAACAAACAATAAAATGAACAAATTTGTAATTTAACTGTAAAATAAAGTTTGTGTTCTAAATGTGCACATATGGTTATACGGACATAGGTTTTAGATTAGAAATCATGTTGGAAACGAAACGGTAAAGTGGAATCCCCTCACCCCACCCCCCTCATGCTGGACTTAACTTAAAATGGCAAGCAGCAGGGCCTGAGCCCAGCGATTCTATTCCGGGAGTCGGTGCTGATGAGCCGGGACAGATGCAGCGCTTGGAATGTGGCGGGACCCGGAGCTGGGGCAGCTGATTCGCCTCGTTGGCAGGAAGACATTTTGGGATCCCAGCTCACTCTGGCATGGGAGTGACAGTGACACTTTAGCACACATGGCTTTTCAGCTTGCCCTGTATAGTCGCTCCCTGGTGGCAAGAGTGGAGGGTAGCAGGAGAAAGAATGTTCTTAAATATAAAGTGACAATTCTTTTCTATAATCAGACCTAGGAGCTTTTCATCTGAGATCCGTTTCAGGGCAGGAGGAACTTGGTTCAAGGGTGACACTTGCACATGGACTTGCCCACTTGGAGAAGAGGGTAGAATTGTGTTACCCATTCCACGGCAGCATCGTGGTTCTGGGTCTGTTTTGAGTTGTGGACCTTTTTGAGAACCTTGTGAAAGCTTTGGGCCCACGCTACAGAAAAATGCACATAAACACACATGCACAACCTGTTTTATAGTATTCCCGAAAATGTCATGGAATGCATGGACTCACCAACCCAGGTAAAGTTTGCTAGATAAACCACATGACACCAGGTACATTTGAATTTTAGATAAATCATAAACCAGTTGTTAGTATAAGTATGTCTCAAATATTGCATGGGATATACTTATACTAAAATGTGATTTGTGGTTTATTTGAAATTCAGCTTTAACTGGAAATCATGTATTTAGTTATGCTATTAGGGGTAGTGAAGATATGAAACTCATACAAAATACATAATTTCCAGTTAAATTTACATGATTTCCAGTTAAATCTGAATTTCAGATATACTACAAATCACATTTTAGTGTAAGTATGGCATGTGTCCTTGACCCAGACATCTATGTGTGGCTTCCAGGTGAAGAATCCTCTGTCTCGGTTGCATTATCCATTTGTGAGTCTATTCCTAGATTCTAGAAGCCATATGGGGGGAGAAGTCATACAGAGCCAGTGTTTATTCTTAACTCTGTAAAATTTTAGAACTGGAAGGCACCCATCTCCTCATTTGGCAGGTGGCTAACCTGAAATCCTAAAAGGTTGAGTGTTTTGCTGCAGGTCTATCGGCTGGTTAGAGCACAGTGAACACTAAGACCCAATTTTCATTTCTATAACAACCAAAGAGACATTAGTCTTAGAAACTATATTTCCAATCCTCCTTCCCACCCAACAATCTCCTCTCCCTAACCTTGAACACACACAGCAGACTAGGAAAGAGAAAGAGCTATTTTAGTAGAATTTGCAACTAAACCAAAACCAAAAATTTAGCACTGGCTTCTTGCATCGTGTATCAAGGATTGGAAAATAGAAGTTAACTTGATGTGTAGTCTGTATACTTTATCAGTAAAAATTAGGCACAGGCCTCTAGCTAAGTTGAACCATAAAAAATTGATACTATTTGTCTTTAAACAAAAATTCATAATAGTCAACACAATTTGTTGACTATTCTCTGGTCAACAAATTCATAAAACCTGTTTCTATTTTTGGCTTATTCACCTATTGGAGTTTCATATCTTTTTAAAATTATTATTAGTTTCAGAGAGGAAGGGAGAGGGAGAGAGAGATAGAAACATCAATAATTAAAGAGAATCATTGATTAGCTGCCTCCTGCATGCCCCCCACTGGGAATCGAGTCCAATACCTGGGCATGTGTCCTTGACCAGAATTAAATCCGGGATCCTTCAGTCCCCAAGCCAATGCTCTATCCACTGAGCCAAACCACCCAAGGCTGGAATTTCATATCTTCATTACCCCTAATAGCATAACTAAATCCACAGACTCTGCCTGAAAATAAATGTATCTTACATTTAAAAGGGCAATGCATTTATTTCAATGTTTGGGGCTATAAAGAACCAATTCATGTTCTCTATATTCAAATTTTGAATTTATAAACCTCAGTCCTACTTCACTCAGTCTCTATCTTCTCCTATTGGAAAGAGCTAACTTTTTAAACTGCTATAGATTTTAACCTGCCCTGGATTTAAAGGAGGCAATTTAAGGGGTCAGGGTTCAATCTGGGTTTGATTGTGACCTTGTGTGACCTTGAGTACATTTTTAAAACTCTCTCTGACCTTAATTTCTTCATCTGTAAATGAATTTAATATAACCTACATTTTAGAATTTTAGTGAGACTTAAATTCAAAAAAATAAAACAGGGTTCAGCACACAGTAAGCCCTCAATTAATAAATGCTAGCTATATAATTATTATTCTAGGTAGAAATGGGGGTAACAATTTTCATTTGATTCATCATATAGATTCATGCTTGGAAATTTATATTTAGGAATTATTTATTAACATACTTAAAACTGGAAAATACGAAAGATGATGAAAATTGTGATGGCTCACATAACGGCCCAGCTATTTATTAGGTGTTGGATATATGACATGGCCATCATAGAAATGACATAAGAGCCAAGATCTGCAGTGGGCAGAGGGAGAAGAGCATGGAATTGCATCTCTGTTACACTTCTGCCCAGTTTCTAATGGAGAAGACCCAAGACGCTGCTCTGGGTGATAGTGGGTGGAGCAGCAAGGGGAGGAGGCCGTGGTGTCCATGACCAGAGAAGGAGAATTCTCTGAGTGCCCTCCACAGAGTGAAGGGATAGCCTGGTAGCATGGGGAGCCTTCTACAGCCCTCTGCACCCTGTGGAAAGTCTCTTCTTTCACTCACAAAAGGGGAGGGACAGGAAGGGACTGGAAATGCCTCCAAATGGCTGCTTATCTCATTACACAACCTCAGCTGCTGTGGCCAGACCAATTCTTTGCACCATGGTAGGGGCCGTGTGAAAAGTGCAAACCACTAGTAGACCCGGGAGGGGTGGAAGGTGGAGAAAAGCTCTGTATTGATCTTCCTTTCTTTGACTCCAAAAGGCCATTTATTAGAGTCTGCTGTGTTGGGAAGGAGACTCAAATCCTTTGTGCTTTGGAGAAAACAGAAAACCAGTCTTGAAAGTCTCCCAGCCATGGGCAACTCCGCAAGGCTTTCCTCCTCACCATAGATCATAACCGCAGTCAAATCCATCCCTTGAGTATGGTAACCATGGTGATTGCCCTGGCTACCAAGCCTGTAGATTTCCCTGAGCAGATGGCTACAAAGCAGTCACTTGTTTAAAAAATTAAATAAATAAAAAACAACAATGATAATTAAAATGCCCTTCCAATTTCTAGTTAATATATAATTGAATCAGTAAGAATGAAATGCTTTCAGAATTTATTACTCAATGTCTAGGCTATGCTTTAGGTTATTTATGAATATATACATCATTTTTGTAACCTTTTTCTTGAAGCCACATTTTTACTATCATTACTATCATTGGTAATCACTAATAATATGACCCAGGGGTGCAGAGTGAACATTTGTAAAATTGTAGGAAAAACAGTGAGAGTTCCTGTACAAATCGCTTTTGACTACATGCTCACATATGACCTAGTGACTAACACTTTTTTTTGCAAATATTCAGGTATTTTTCTATTCAGCCTCTATTTGCCCATAATATCAGCCTCAAAGTCCAGCACCATCACCAAATGAGTAAATAAAGTTAATTAAATTGTTCCATTTTACTTTCACACATCTACTCCTAGGCTGTCTTTTCTTTCACAATTCCTTCCTTTTAAGCTTGCCATTGCTCTTCATTTAAATGTGATTGCGGAAAAATGCTGGTTGATCAAGTGAGTGTGTGTGTGTGTGTATTTGTGTGTTTATGTGTACCTAGTGTGACAACCTTGAGTCTGTACTCTCCAGAAAGGCCCCCCGTAGGAGGGGGCCTACAGAATTCTTGAGGGCTTCCCTGTCTACTAGTGAGAACAAAGCCTCTTGGGTTTTGATCCCCCATAATGAGGAAGGCAGTCTTTTCTGCTGTAGGGCCCGGAGCACATAGTGCAGCTGCCCTTACCATTCTTACTGGCTTGCAATCCTCCTTCAACTGAGAAAGCGGTGACTGGAGCTCCAAGAGGGAAAGGAAGAGCAGGGCCGGTGGAAAGGCATTTACCAAGCTATCGGAGCCAGTGTACATCTCTGCAGCCTGAAGGACATCAGAACTTTGTTCAGCTTCGAAGAAGTGGCCCTGATCCTCACACTCCTCTGAGGGGTCTGCAGGACCTTATTGGAGGGTCATGGCACAGACTGAGAACACCTGGGCAGGTGGATGACAGCTTCACCCTCAAGGTGCGAACCTAGGAACAGGATGTCATGGTAGCCTGTACGGCATGGGTCAGCGGTTGAGCATCGACCTATTAA